GAATTACACATGTGTGCCCTTCTACGGGCAGGCATTTAGTTACATGTATCTGATGCATGTGCATGTTGTTACAAGTCTCTGTGTGTACGCGCTTGTATGCAAATCCAGAATATGCGTGCGCATGCACGTGCGTGCAAACAGACGGCTGGCACTGTAACAGTGGACTGCCGTTGCAAGCCGTTGTAAGTATGGTGCTGCAGGCATGTTCAACTGTGCTGGCATGCATCGACGACACGTGGACTACACTCTTGATCCTGGAGGCTAAGTGCCACAGGCCGTTCTGTGCTACCCTGCCTGCGGGCTGGCACGCTCCAGGATCCACTTGTCCAAGCAGCTCTGTGCATTGGCCAAAGATGATGAAATCTGCTGCTCGCCTCGGCATAGGTAGGAGTTCTGGAGGTTCTGGTTGCAGCTTCAATCAACTGTCGCCTCAGGGCTTCCTTTCCTGGGCGAGTTCCGACTCCGAGAAGTTGGGCACAGCAATTGCTAGTGACCGGGCTTGCGGGGTGTTTCATGCTTGCGCCTGCTGCGAAAACAATATTCATCAGTTCCGAATCGAACCAAGCCACACACGCTGAACTCGAAATGCCCCTTGTGGTGGGCAGTGATGCGGATGGTGACCTCCACAATCGTTCCTGATGTCCACGTCCTGCCAAACAACTCGTCCCTGCACCGGGTTGTAGGACGAGGCTGGCAGGGAATTCGGGCATTCAGGCCGTGTGTGATTTTTCGTGTTGAGGGTTGCATCCCAAAACCAATGGGCAGTACATAGCCTGACATGCCAAATCCGCCAACGAACACTTCTTCCGGTTCTTCCGGGGGCTTGAACCTCACGGGTGGGCCGCCAGCATTCACGTAGTTGCCTGAGTGACTGAATGAGAGTGAGAGAGAGACTGAATGAGAGAGAGAGAGAGAGAGCGAGAGAGCGACTGAATGAGAGAGAGAGAGAAAGAAAAAAGTGAGAAAAAAAACAGAGACCGAGAGAGTGAGAGAGCGCGCGGGGAGCGGAATGTTGTCCCCCTCTACCCTCCAGAGAGGAGGAGGACTGCGAAAAAACGCAATGGCGTGGATCACTCAGAGAGAGAGAGAGAGAGCAACGGTGGAATCCGACATGCGTGGGTTGAATCCGACAGCCTCCTATGGTTGGAAGGGAAAGATGCGGAGAGACGTAGAGAGACGTAGAGAGCGACTTCACGAAAAGATTGCCAGAACCCGAATAAACGAACCTTCACACCCTTAGCCTGAAACCCGACAGAAGCCAACAGAATACTTGAGCCACGCGTCTGTCGGAGGGCCATTGGTTGCCATCGCCACAAATGCCGTTGCCATTGCCGCAGTGCGGGCAATAGCCTGAAGTTGCAAAGTGCTTTTGGAACGTGGAGGGGCCTAGGGTTGTGGAAGGGTCTAGTGAGTCTAGTAGGCCAACACTTGGTACACGCAGGACAACCAAACACTTAGCGACTTAGCGATTTTTGCGGGCAGAGATGTCAAGAACACACAGCGTCCCAAACAACACAAATAAGTCCGAAACAGTTTCTCTGCCCTGAGCCCTCAAGCCCTGGAGCCTTGAGGCTTCGATTTGACAGTACTTGGCACTCTGGGCGGCCCCCGAAACCCAAAGCCCAACCCGACATTGGCATCGGGCGGCCGTTCTTCGGCCCGGAGTCGACGTTGCGGGCGGCTGGCTCGACCATGAAGCCATGCCCTGGCGTGCTGAAACTCCCAGGGGCCTTCGGGGTTTTTCCGATGGCAAGACTTGTTGAGTCTCGGAAGTTTAAGGCTTCAGGTGCGAGCTTTGTATCGATGGCTTTCACGACGAAGCAGGACCCCACAGCACTAGCACCCAAACCGAAGCACCCCTAAACCAGCCCCCAAACCGTGCCAACCAGCAACAACAGCAAACCGGCACGGAGCGCCCCAGGCGCCATGGATCGAGGATGCGGCAAGGACCAGCAGGGCCTGGCCATCATGTTCCGCGGGTTTGGGGTCTGTGGGGCGCTGCAGTGTCAGAGTCGTCCCGCTTGGGGTGACTTCAGTTTCTGAGCGAAGTGCTCGGCTACTGGCAACCCAAATCCCAAAAACACCCACAACCACCCAAACTCAGAGCCCACAAGACTGAGCGCCGGCGCTCGAGTGTAGGATCCCATGGCTTCTGAAGCACGGCAGACAGGGCGCTTCTCCCCCGAAAAAACGCGGATACGGCTGAGGGATGCGGAAGAGACGATAATACACATTGCGAATGTTGCATACTCAAGCACCATCCTCGCCAATTTACTTCTTTCTCACTACTTTAGTCGTTTCGGCCTTTGCTGATGCGAGAAGTGCATGGCTGCTTTCTTCCACGACACAGCGGCGTAGGCGGCCAGGGTATGCCGGCGCAGCTTTGGTGCAAGCGCACGCACGCCCCGGGGCAAACCCAAGGAATGCTGTAGGCCACCACCCCGCAGAGATCCTAAAGCCGCCCCGTGCGAGGCATCTCCCTGCGGAGGTGGGACCGTGAGCATCCCAAGCTACTGTCGGTGGCTGTGCCAGGTCACTGGCATTCTTTTCGATCTGGCCCAGCGCAGGTGACTGCAACAGGCGTTCAATGTGCACCCTACTAACTTCAACCATGCCTAAAGCAATCACCCAAAACATCCAGCGCATGTTCGAAAGCACCCAGCAGCCCGCTACTTTTGCAAGGGCTGGGACTCGACTGTACACATGCCAACTATACAGCATGCGCCTGGAGAACGACAAGCACATACACAAACATACACGCACGCAGCTTAGTCAGCTGTCAGAAGCTGTGCGGGCGATCAGGTTCCCGACAGTGGGACGGAGGATGCAAAATACGCGGCCAAGTTCTCGAATCGACGCCCGGCCTTTGACCAATCTTGTGGCTTTCTCTCGTAGCCGACTTCCCAATTCTACAGGAGCAGTATGGCATGCTCAGAACTCTCAACGATGTAGGAGAGTCATCTCAACATCTCAAACGTTGCTCGGCGAAGCTTCTCATTGCTAGTTCTCGGCATAGTTTTTTAACAGGCTCAGAACACCGAAGAGCTTAGGCGCTCAAAGGCTTTGGGGTTTTTAACGGCCTAGGTGCTTGACCTTAGGGGGTACTCCTGGCCTGACCCACCCGTGCCAGCGAGCTGACGCGCGTGCGCGAATTCAATCTAGAGTGAATTCGACCTGTCTGCGGCTCAGTGGACCTGTAAGCACAGTGAAGGCTTGGGGTTCGAGATTCGGGGAGCTTCGGACGTAGGATTTGAGGTTTCAAGCTGGATGGAAGGTTCCGTGGCATTCGGGGGCTCCATGCCTTGTCCTGAGGATGACAGGTACTTAGCAACCTCACTACTGAGGCGTCACGAGCTCGCTCCTAAACATTCCTAAACCCCAAACCCTGACTCGTGCACGTGCACCTCAAGACGCAAGACTCGAAACTCCGAAAAGCCCTGAGCCCACCTGCACCTGTGCCATAGCGGCTGGGCTTGTGCAAGTGCCTGGGAAGGTGCACGCTGGAACCAAGGGATGAAAGGGGGAGCTTGGAGGCCTCGGAGCCTTCTGCTCGGCTCATACCAGCTCCAGCATTAGAGTCCGGGTGGCAAATTGCCGGGTCCGTGTTGCAGGGCCACCACTTGTAGCCTTCGGCACACCGGGCGCAGTTCCTGGGCACTGAACCCCAAACCAGGGCTCGCGCAGGGTGCGGTGTTCTTGAGCCTTGGGGTTCCTGAGCCTTGGGGAGTCCATTGCGGCGCTGAGGGATCGTCATTTATCAGACTTTTATCAGGGATCTAGGGTTTCCAGTTTCTAGGGCTTACAGGCTCTATAGGGTCTAGGCCCTAGGCGGCTTGGTCGAACCGCTCAACTACCAATGCTTCCAGGTGCGCCGCTGTAGCACCATTGGGCGGCAAGCCCTGGCGGCCAAGAGGTCGCTCAAAGACTCTATCTCAAACGCCCCCCAAAACCTAAGCCCTACCAGATATAAACCCCTCCAAGAGTGACCGCGAGTTGGAATCCTGGAGGTCCAACTTCACATGTGTAAAGCCCGCAGTAAACCCTGACACCCCCCTACCCCTGCCTGCGTGGGGAGGCACACCATCCCGCCCGGCGTGGTGGACGCGGCAGGCGTCGTGGTCGGCGGCATGGTTCGGCTGGTTGTGGAGGTTGTGGAGGTTGTTGCCTGGGGTTTGCGGGTGGCTTTTGCCAGTGCAGGGCTGGGAGGTTCACGGGTAGGCCTCGGGCTTTCAAGCCTTGCTCAAGCCTCGAGAAACTCCTGAAGCCGACCAAACACCTCCCACGCACACGACAACATCACGACAACATCACGACAACATCACGACAACATCCCCCGGCTCGAAGAATTTCCAAGACTGCACTGAGGTTTCGGCCGGAGGCCCGCATTCACAGAGCTGGCCGGCACAGGGCCAGGCCTAGATTCATCGGGATGTGCCGGGCCGTTGCAGGGAATGTCAGGTCTGGGACGACCCTATACGACCGTAGCCACCCATGCATGTGACAGGATTCCGGGGGCGGGGCGGGAAGGGGAGGGAAGGAAGGGGGTTGGCAAGGGGAGAGGGGGCCTGCGAGGGCAGCTGGTCGCAGGCAGCCGCGCACTTCGCATCGCTGCCGCCGAAGCGGAGGCCGTCGGCCGTGGCGCGGCAGCCCTTGATGGTTTGGTGTTTATGTTGAGGGCCCTGTGAGCATAGGGTCAAAGGGAGCTTCCTGCAATGAGCGATGTCAGTTCAGCCTTGGTGGCAGGGTCAAACCATCAATGGCGGGGCTTGTCATGCTTGTGTCACGTATTCCAAGCGAGGGGAACTCCTGCGAGTAAGGTTTGTAGGACTCTATGCTCAAGAGCACTGGGGGCTGCTAGGCCCAACTGCACGGAGGCACATAGGCGCGCGCGCTTGTTCTTCACAAGCAAGCCAAGCTTGCACGTGGCACGGCACGCTCGAGCCTTACAACAAAACGGTATTCCCATGTCCTCGCAGCCCCAACGAGCATTAACCAGTACCTCAAAGCAACCACCTTTGCAAGAATACCTGATGCCAAGCTGCAGCTGCGACTGTAGTCGTGGTGGGCATCGTGGTTGATGTGGTTGTGGCCCCCTGCGTGGTCGTCGTGGTGGTTGCGGCCGTCGTGCCTGCACTCATAGAGCGACCCCCAAAACCCAAACACTCTCCCTGCAGAGGCATACGGTGGCTGCCGCAGAGCTGCTTGAAGGTGGCGCGGAGAGGCAGGAGCCGACATGGTCGTAGGCAACCTTAGGTTGGTCTGCGTGGCCCTCAAGTGGCCCGAGATGGCACAAAGTCGCCCAAAGGTGGCCCTACGTGGCCCCAGATGGGCCAAGCGGCCGAGCGGTCATTCACGAAAGAGAGGATGCAGCGCGTCTGCTCTTCGAAGCTCAGATCGAAGAGGTCTTGGCCGCAGCCGGGAATGACGCCTCTGAGGTGAGCTCGAAAGGAGTTCAGGGGTTTAGGGATGTGGGCTGAGATGAGGGGAGGGCTGAGGGTTTGGAGCTCAGGGTTCGGGGTTGAATGAGGGGATCTTGGCAAGTGGGGAAAATCCGACCGAGCGGCCGTTCGTCAGCTTGTACCAGGCCGCCACGGACCGCCAGCCGTACTGTGGGCTCTGGAAGAACCTTCGTGTCGGATGCGCCCCCGCCTGAACCTTGCAAGCCTGACTTCAAGATCTGAAGCAGCCAGCCACCCCGCCTCAAGTCCTAGATGTCCCACATTCCAGCAGCTTCCAACACTCTTTACCTTCCCTTGCACAGCGCGACTCGTCTTCCCAGAGCACTTTGCGCCGAGATGCTGGTACTGGTCGGGAGCCATGGCATTGAACTGCGAGATGAAGTTCCTGGGTTTTCAGGTTCCTGAAACTCACCAGGGTATACCAGGGTGCAAAGGAGCTCCACAAAGAGCAGCAAGGATAAACATGAAGAACACACATCCCACAGAGGCCCGGGTGAACTCCGCCGACACCGAGCGGCATGCCGGGGAAGAGCTGGTCCATGTCCTGCGGGGCCGCGAGGGCCAGGGTGCAGGCGTGTCGCACCTTCTCCCGCAAGCCTCAGCCCTATATGGATTCAAGGAAGCGCCGGTCCTCCACGTTCGTCCGCCAGTTGCCGGGGATCATGTGGATGAGCCCGGCACCTGGAATCCGCCCGTTCAAAACAAGCACAAGAGCAGATGATGAAAGACGACACCCAAGCCCACCCCAAGCCCCATCCCATCCCATGCCATGCAGATTTCACGGTCTTCCAGGTCGGGTGGCCTCCCGAGCCTTGGGGGCAATATTTGTGGAACAATGTGGAACATGCGGTGGCACCTCCATCCCTTGGCTGGTAGACGGTTGAGAAATAGGCCGTCTCGAAGGTGATCTCAGCGAGGAACGTCGGGTTAAACGGCTTTCTTCGCAGCTCGATCTTCATGTGTCGCCACGTTGCACATCTCTATTTTTTACGGCAGACATGATCATAGAATTTCACTGCGCTAACGTCTCTCAAGGGGCACTCTCCGTCCCTGGCTTTAGAGAACCCAGGCCAAACCCATGTCCAGTTTAACAACTGCAGGAGCCTGTGCCAGCATCTTGTGGATGGCCGTCTGGTCGTTGCACTTGTTCACGGCAGGGTCTGACAGCATCTCGTTCCTGCGGGATCTGAGGTTCGAGAGTTTGCACACGCCTCGGAGAGCTTAGAGAGTGTAGAGAGCTTCTAAGGCTTAGGCGCCACTCGGGGACCAAGGTTTCAGAGGAGGATCGCCCGCGGGCTGTTGCGGGAAACGTCTGGAGTGTCGAGCTGTCACATGGAGCAGGCAGATCCCATTGCGCCCGAAATCGCCCAGACCCGGTCTGCATGGCCAACAGTAGGTTTCTGCGAGGTGCGTTGGCTGACACAAGTCTGGCTGCAAACTTGAAAGGGTCGCGGAGCACAGTGCGCAAAAGAAGCCTTGCCCAAGTCGGCCAAGGCTCAAAGCATCCACCCACTCCTGGTGCAGGATTTGCAGTGTTGAATTCGGGACACTTTCAGCCACTCTCGCCCCAGCCTTGGAGCAGTAGAACCCATACTCGTATCCAGATGGGCCGGTCACGTCCTTGTCCTGCGTGCATACGATCAGGAACGCGGTGGCTGCTTCTCGCGAGGCAAGGTGTGAATTCAGGACTCTTGTTTCACCACACGAGCAAAATCCAGAATCCGCCATTTTCCTGGTAAAGGCAACATCAACATGTGGCACGAATGCCGGATTACGGGAAAGGTCAAGTTCAGCTGTTTTCGTGATTGTTCTAAGGTTGCGACGACATTACTTATAGATTCACGAATTAAGAACTAGAAAAAGCGTAGTACAATCGAGAGAAACATCCCCGATGTGAGATCGTGCAAGGGCATGTGTTGCCAAACATGGTTGCACAACAACTTTGCCTATGCCTGGATATGGTGCCACGAACTTGCTATGTTGAATTGTATAATATGCACCTGCGCTACGGGTACGTTAACGGTCGACCTTTGGGTTCTACCTGGCGAGGTGGCCCGTCGCAAGATAACAGACGGTTCTTAGGACGTCGGGTCCCAGCGACTCACTGGCACTCATAGACTGAAAGGGGACTGTTCCAGACGTTGGCTTGCCGGCCTTTGTGAAACTGCTTGAGTTCCAAGCTAGCTCTGTGTTTGGATAGCTTGGTAACGACTGGAGTTTGGGGTTCTCAAGGGCGTTTGGATGCCGTTTGGATGTTTGCGGTGTGGCTATACATGGCGAAACGTAGTCCCAGCCCCAGTGCACCTGCGAAACATCGCACTTTGGCCAGTATGTAGACTTGCCTCAGCGTGGGGATAAGCCCGAAAACACATAGTGTTCACAAGGCTCAAGAAGTTCCAAGCACGAGACGCCAAACCTCTGCCGGTGGGGGGGGGGGGGGGGGGGGGTGGGCGGTGGCCAGGGCGGGGGGGAGGGGGGGGGGGGTGGTGGGGGGACGGGGGGCGGAAAACAGGGGGGGGGGGAGGGGGGGTCGGTGGTGGGGGGCAGGGGGGGGGGAGGTAGGGGGGCGGTGGGGGGTGGCGGGGGGGGGGCGTGTTGGAGGTTTCTCATCAATTGCAGAAACGTTTCGATGTCAGGGGGCCAAAAAAGGTGTCGGGGCCCTTGTTTGGGCCGCAGTTGTGCTGAGGCAGCCCAGCAGCCATTGATGCACGTCAGGGTCTCCTGGGTAACCTGGGCTGGTGAGTGGTGACTTGCGCTCACGAGTTTTGAGCGCGATTGGAGTGACTTGACCGTCTTAGGGGTTGCATGTGGTGGTGGCGAGTAGCTTTTCAGACTACAAGCTGCCCGACAGCCTGCAACCAACCGGAGCCTCAAGGCCAGCAACTTCAGGAGACAGAGAGCTGAAGCCACGCTCCAGCCAAAAAAAACTCCGAAACCGAAGCGCTGCGCCTCGAACCCCGAACCCTCAAAATATCCAAGTCCCCACATGCTTTTTTCCCTCCAGCATCTCCAGCCCAGGCGCACAGGTTGGTGTTGAGCCG